AAATAAATATAAAGGAATCATTTACTTTTATAAAATAAAGATAATTTTTTTTTTCATTTATTTATATTTATTTTTTAAGTATAAATGATTCATTTACATTTATTTTCCAAAGTAACACTAAATTAACGCCCCTAATTTCTGTAGCTTTGAGCTGACAATGAACATTTAGGGCTTTTCTTGTAAATTCTATAACTTAGTAAAGAAAGGTCGCGAAGGGCTGGGAGATATCTTATTTTAATCAGAAATTTGCGGGCTACAATCATGCCTCATTAAGAAAGGTTTTGGTTATTTTTCAGAATTGCTGAAAAACTGGTTTTCCAAAAAATCGGGCCTTAAACAGCCATAGGCCCGAACTCTTTTAGGCTTTCCCTTATCTCAATCTATGATGAACGAACGAAATCGGCAGAGTTCACCGAAAAACGTTCCCTTGTTAGAAGTAGTTATTTCCGCCATAATGAACAGTATGAGTTCATTATCTGCGATTCTATTGTATCCTAGAAACTATAAGCAATTTTCATTCTTGTGCGACTATTCGATGTTGCTAGTCTAAAACTATCGACGTATTCTCTGCCAATATTTGTAAAGAAGTTCAGTATTGTGAAAATCAACGGAAAGCAAAAAATAACGGTATAAACAAGTTGTTTAATTATTGTACAGGTAAATGAGACACTAATTTAGCTCGAAGTTCGAAAATGATAAAAAGATTTTATGAAATAAAACGTCAGTAAAGGAAAATTATTGAAAACATCTTACTTGAAGATATAAATTTTGATCATTGATTTGATTACTGAAATATTCTTTGATATCATTATCATACGTTAACCGTGATTTTTCTAATAAAAATCAACAACAATGTACCACAAATCAAACGATGCAATGACAATAATCTCATTTATGTTCTTACCATAAAATCGATTTATGATTGAAATGGGACTTGTTACCCAATCTTCAATAAATGGCATTTTATCGTTCCGACGTTTTTTTTAATCTAAAAGGAAGAGAAAGGATACTTTGAGCAGATAAAAAATAAAACAAAAATTGAATCGTTCAGTATGTCTACACCTATCATGAGTAGCACTCCTGTCTCGTCTGCCTCAGTTATTTATAACGTCCGAACAATAAAACGTTAGCAACTTTTACTCATAAAATAAATAAAATCGAATAGTATTTGTTTTTTTGTCACTAATATCTACATTTCTCTCTAGAATAACGGGTTCAACTATAGCACAGAAATAACAGAAAAAGGTCACATATATATATATATATTAATATAAATATTCAAATCTGACGCCCACATTGTGTATACGATCCCTTTTTTACTACAAGTGTCTTCGAAACAAAAATCAAAAAATTTTGCCCAATAATTGACCAAAGGTCTCATTTGAATAATCAACGAAAATATGTTAATAGCTTTCACAGAAGTAGTAGATCAACTACTGATAGTTCAGAGAAAAATGGAGTTTTGAAATAAAATATTGTTGCAGTAAGTAAGTTGTGAAGGTCTCAAAGACTACATTTTCAAAATCTATCAGTCAACAAAGGCTAGTAAATCCGATCTAAATAGGTAGTTTTACCGTTGCAACTATCAATATAGATGCGAATGTGTTGATTATTACAGCTGATTTATCTGTTCCCAATGAAGCAGATGGCTCTGTACTATTGTATGTATGTTTTAACAGAATGAAATCAGGTCTATGAGATAGGAAAAGATATAACGAAAAAGTTCATAGACTCTAATCGAAGAGATACTCTTTAGCTTACTGAATTTTCTTAATATCAGGACGTTTTACCGTTGATTCAGTAGTTCGTTTCTGTGATATATCATCGTTCATTTGTTTTACGTTTCATTTTTTGCCACGCCGACTTTTTCTTTTCTCCATTTTCTCTCGTTTCTTCAAGAAAGAAAAAAAGAAAAAAAAATGAATTTTCATCTCTTTGACTTTTATCTATCGTTTGGAAAAGAGAAGACATCTATTGTATATTCAACATTTTGTACAATAGAGAGATACTTGACAAGTCATTCACTACATAAATAAGTCGAATGAAGTATTTTAAATTTTAAATTTTTAACATTATAATACATTCTTAACGATACTAAATTAAGTATACAAAGATATAAAAAGTCGAATTTATTTTTAAATTTTAATTTAAAATTGAAATGAAACGAGAAGAAGGTTTATAAAGTAATTTAAATAAATAATAAATATTTAATTATAATTTACATTTTCCTATAGTATTTGTTTAACCTCCCTATAGTATTTGTTTCTGGATGCGTTAGGGTAAAATTTTTCTCATTTTTATTAAACAACTGTTGTAGAGTCTTTCTATCTGCAGAGCTGTAGAATCTGCCTGTTTGCTTCGACGTTCGTCAGGGGAAAACTTACTGATTCATAGAAATTTTTTGAAAAATTGAAGTATTTTTTTGCAAATATTTTGTTAAAAGAAAGTCTGTTTGTGGATTCTGTCGGGAAGTTTCTGTGAAAATTTTTCCGTCGGGGGAAATTTCCTGATCTCATGAGTAGATTCTGTATTTGTCTCTTGAGCTGCAAGTCGCAAAGCCTTCAATAACTATGATCTTCATCCTCTAACATCTTACACCAGACGTAATATTTAACGTTATAGAACTATTTGTATTACGATTTCAACAACTTTCATGATAAAAAGAAAAATGAAAGAAATATTGGAACTCCAGAGTAAATGTTTTTTTAATTTAAAAAAATGAAACAAAAACATCAAAATAACGTAAAACACAAAAAAAGTGAAAAGAAGACCTATTTGTTTGTTCATCGTTTTTTTACTAATCTTTTCTTAATGGGTGTATATCAGTTGTTATTCCTTGATCCTTGGTCAATGTATGTATAACAACACCATCACCTAATTCAACATTTCGTTCACATGCTGCCATATAAATATCTTTGATCATTTTTATTGTTTCTTCTTTTGTACGTTTAACTAATCCTGGTTTTGTTGTATTCTTACCAAGAATCTACAAAACACAACATTTGTATTTTGTGAAAGAAAACATGATGACACAAAGAATTTGATAACACAAGAACATTTGAATATCTTCAAAATGATCTATGTTAACAACAGTTAGATTTTTTATTCAGAAAGTTCTCCTCTCATCTACCACTAAAAATTGATGAGAGAAATATTCCTTCGCTGTTTTGCTTAAAAAAAGTACTTTTTTCGTATGTAATTTATGACAAATCTGATATTCGTTGCCGCTGTTAGATTTTATCAGAAACAATCTTTAGAAATTTGAAAATATCTTTTGAAAAGTCTGACAGTGTTAGTTTATACAGAATATCTGATATCAGATTAATTTTCGAGTTACTTACATTGGCATCGAGTATTGGTAATATAAGTGGCATTGCACTGCCTTCACATGCATAACCTTGTTGTGTCATGGAACCAACGGGATCAAATGCAAATATACAACCTTTACCTAAAAAAGTGTGTATAGACGATTATTTTAACAGTTATGCATAATTTTATACTCAGTTACCCTCATTATCTAAGCCTGTAACAACGGTATTTGTATAATAAGGAAAAAATCTTCTTCCATACATCATTATCGATATCATTTGAGCTAATGCTGGAGTTGATATTTGTTTATTATGAGTATATTCATACGTCTAAAACAGATCAATTTAGTCTTGTTAAAGATTTATTGTTTGTATTTACTTTAATGCGGCCGTCAAGTGTTTTTTTCAATGTTAATACATCTCCTAGAAAGCCGGTTGATAATAATAACGAATTATTATGTCTAAAACAACGAGAAAAACAGTCGATGTTCATCTTCAAAGAGAGTGAGAGAAGAATTGTTTTCGTACAGTTTATAAACATTGCTATGTGTACGTGATTGTATTGAATAATTTTCAGTTAAACGTGTGTCACTTGCTACAACAACATAATCATCACCAGCAATAGCCACAGTTGTACTAAAATAAACAAGATATTGGATAATTAAAAGATATGACTACCAAATGACTACCATTTAGATGAGATAATAATCCCTAACTTATCTTACCCCGATTGAAATTCATATGGATACCAGCCAACTTCTTTCACCATACTTTAAATTTTTTTTCTTTATTGTACAAACTATTTTCGTTAAAATCTAAAAAGAATATAGTGACATGAAAGACAATAATGTCTGTTCTATAATAAGAATAGACGAGTAGTGAAGCATGTGAAATAAACAGATTTGTAGTTCATTATTTTATATTTTTTTTTATTATGTTAAAATAAAACTTCTTTCCTAGTTGGAAAATAGAACAAGAACGCTTGAACAGACACATAAAAAGAAAACGCAGAAAAACGGTCTAGAAACTGAAAAAGAAGACGAACAAACGAAAGCAACAGAAAAAATTTCAATGAAATAAATGATGAATTGATTGTTTATTTGTTTACAATGTTAAAATTAAAGTTTGCATAATACTGGTAGATCAATCTTTTCGTACGACTGAGCCAACGGATAACAAGGTAAGGCACTTTTCCATATGGCAACGTTATCTAACCATGCAACCTTGAAAAAAACAATACAAACATCATAACCAATTATTCTGATGCGTTATCTAATTGGTAGGTTAACTACGTTTAAGAGTGCTAGACAAAACCTTTTTTTGCCTTGCACCACATGTATATCTGCTTCTATCAAACAGGTATGCCTGAGGAGGGACCTTTTCCAACTGTCTAATCGCTTTCCGGTCGAAACCTAGTGGGTTATAGATTATCGACCGTGCTGAATCCGAATATCGACATGAGACGGATCCTTAAGCCTTCAGACACCCGTTTTCTGAAAAACTAGTTTTTCAGCAACTCTAAAAAATAACCAAACTCTTTCTTAATAAGGCATGATTGTAGCCTGCAAATTTCTGATTAAAATGAGATATCTCCCATTTCTACATGACCTTTCTTTGCAAAGTTAGAGAATTTACAAGAAAAACCCTAAATGTTCAGCATTGTCAGCTCAAAACTACAGAAATAAGAAAAAACTAATTTAGGGCTTTTGGTGTAAATTCTCTAACTTTGCAA